CTCCCAACCGGTTCCCAACAGCGCGGGGAATGACAGAAAACCGTTTGAGAAGCACGAGTTAATTAGTCCACTGCCCAATAAATCTGGATCAAGTATTAGTTCTAAGAAACCACATTAGAGTTGAGTGAAAACACGTCCGAGTCAAATGTAATAAAGTCAGATCCACTCGTGTCTTAGACGTGCGCAGTGATACCGATAAACCACTGTTAATGACGTGCATTCAAACACTTTGTTTTTTGTACCAGCTGATTCACCTTGCCAAGGTTGATGCAACATAGCAACCTGCTGTTTATCCTGATAAAGTGTTTAAGTCCATGATGTTTAAAGTTTAACATCTTAAAAGGTGTCAGAGTATTGAGATAGTGCACCCTTTTCATTCAGCAGAAAGGTATGACACGCACTGTCACGATACCGCGCTTCCCATGTGTTGGTGCATCGGATGCACAAAGTGTTAACCGGCCCCTTTTATGTGAAACGCGCACTATAACTAGATAGGCAAAGCGGCTTGACGTTATACGAGTTTGACAAACTCAAGGCCGCGAAAAACAAGCAGACCACCGTCGTAGACCGTTTAGCGGAGAGCCGCGGTTTTGTTTTGGATAGGTAAACCGGGGTAACTCAAACATATCCACGGTAGTGTTGAACCGGGTTCGCAGGCCGTCAGGCTATCAAGTACTTGGACCACGTAAATTAAAAGTTAAATTTTTTTTTTCTTTCTTCTTCTCCATGTCCCCTAGGGGCGTTTCGTATAAACGTAACACACGAGGCCCCTGAAATATTTCATGGTATTGTTGGCGTCATGGGAACATCTAAAGCTTATTGATTTGGTCGCTCCCGGCAGTTCTGGCTGCGAGGGTAGCGCCTGCATGCCATGACAGGATTGAAAGGACAGAAACCATACACCTGCAGTGCAGACCTCTGTATGCACATGATATAACATGTGGGTTTGGGACCTGAATTGCGACATGTTGAGAGCAAAGGCTTCCTGAGGACAACCCGTCCCCGACCCATAAGCGAAATAAGCGGCCCCGCGAGCCACGAAGGGGCCCCTAATTGCAAAAATTGAGATGAAAAAATAAAAAAATCTCAGTACAGCCGGCGCCTGATAAATTGTGTTTAAGGTTAATGTGTTAATATGCCTAGAATTCGCCTACTCTCAAAGTCCATGTATTATAGTTACTTGAGTTAATAACATACATTACATGCTGTTACCTTGAAGTCTCATCATATATATATATATATATTAAATGGAGTCCGGAGTCAGAGTTTTGAAGATGGACATAAGAAACACATTTTTTCTAAAAAAGACGACAATCTCTCAAGTGGTAGCGTCACACAAAAACCTGCCAGAGCCACCCACTTGACCAGGTAAACCAAGTATGTAAATGCAAGTAAAACTTCCAAGTTATCAAACATGTTAACAAGCGATAAATACAGCTACGTTTGACGCTTACTTTGAATCGCGGGGGATAAGCTACAACCGTTAGCAAGTAGCTTAGCCAGATATGAGTTGAAGATAAAGCACTTTGTCGATGACTATCTAAATGTTAGATGGTTTATTTGGCGTTCACCTGGTGATGTTCAAGAGAAAGCTCTGGGAAAGTTGACGTACTGTGCGACTGAAAGCCTAAAGCTGGCCTTGACAGTAACACAGTTGATCCGGGAGTCCTGCAGTTAGAGTGTTTCATAGTTAGCTGTTAGCTTAAGCATCAACCTAGCCCTGAAATATATGGAGGTTATGTAACAGTATTTCTGAGAAAAAGTCACTGGAGAGGGCATAGTTGGCCACTGCTTTACGTGACGACAGCGTGTTTCGATGATTTGCAGCGCAATAAATGTGGAACTGTTTGGCCAACTGACGGTTGCCATAGAACACGTCGAAATCTTAAATGCGCAACCCGTCTTTTGTGACAGATTTTTGCAAATAGAATTATAATTCTTCTCGCTGAATGATATGTCCTATTGACAGGCTAGTGGTTTATTTGAACATTATGAGATGGACATCCAGAGAGAATAAATGAAAAACCGTTATGAAATACGTATGACAAGAACAACAATAGCATATTAAGCTGAGTTTGTAAAGACTAACCATACAAGAAAGAATGTGCTTACAGTTGTTTCATATGGGTGTTGGAGCAGGTGTATCCATAGACCTCTAAATATTTGCTCCTCAGGAGTGCAACCAGATTGGGCCTTGAATGAACTTTTAACTCAACTGATTTAAAAAAACAAACTCCCGGGAGAGGGCATGCCCCGGGGAGACGACCCGAAGCGGGAGCATGCCCCCGGACCCCCCTAGAGGAGGTTAGGTCCACAGTGTTTACATGCTTATTTATACAATATGTGTGCTTATGCTAACATCATAAGACAAAAGTTGGTTCCGTGTTGTGTGTAGTGAGAATGCGCTAGAGTGAGGGGGGCCCCAAAGCCAAAGCTCGCTTAGGGCCCCCAAAGGTCTATTGCCGGCCCTGCCTGAGGACATCACACTGCTGACGGCAAAAGTCATGTTTTTATTACAGAAAACTCTTCTTTACAAAACACAACACATTTCCAGCTACACATGTTCTATAATTCAACCAAATATCACAATCATCAAAAAACACTGTACACCATTCTAAGAAGCTCTCTCTGTGTCACAGAGGCATTCTGGGACAGGAACCACAACCTGATGTCCCTGAGCAGAGGGAAATAACACGTTTTATTGTAAATGTCATGTAGCCTATCTACATGGGGACATAAGAGAGGGTGGGCTACTGTGACAGCCACGGCACAGTGTTGGCTTTTTCACATAAAATAACATGTATTAATAAATTAAGTCTGATCATTTGATCACAGGAAATGAAACATCGACACGAGGAACACGACACGTTTCAGTTCTTGCTTGGCACGAGAGGCATAGAGACTCAGTTCAAGCTTTGGCACCGCTGAGGAGTTTCCTCTTGACCTGTTTACATGTTTACAGTCACAAGCATCTACAATGCACCAGGTGCAAACAATCTTCAGTGACTCGGACAACACAATGGGAATTGGCTATGCTTCATCTTTTAACCTGGTGTTTTATTGGTTTAAGCGAGTGACTACAGCACTGTATTAGAGGGAGGTACCTGAACAAGCCTTAGCGTTAGCATGCTTTTATTGTTATGCATTTACTGTTTGAATGGTATATGTTTATGGCAAGAGCACCCTGAGGGTATCAATCAGGGTTTGATTATTTTCAAGATTTCTCAACAGATTTAGCATTGCGCTCTAAAGTTGTCAAACTCACGATGCACAGTTTCAAATCGATTTCCAACCCGGTGCCTATCAACCACAATGCAACTCGTCAGAGATTCAGGCGTGTTAGAGTATTAGCAGCTAGCATTGGGCTGAGATGAGGAGTGGGCTACAGATCAGTTTCCAACTCCTTTATTTTGCCTTTTTGAAACTTGTACAGAAAGTGACATCACTTGAGGCAATTTTTTAGACATCTCCCTCTGAAGCGGCAGTCTTTTACAAATTATTTTCATAAATGCGAAAGTATTCACAATTACCTGTAATAAGACTTGATGCTTGAAATTGTTGGATTTCACTTTTAACACAACCAGCTGGCATCACTCACTCATCAGTGCTGACCACTTCCAAACCCATTCCACGGAAATTATTTAAATAGTTTGCTACATCCTCCTTCAAATTAAGTGCTTTAAAACAAAAGCAAGATTTTTTTTATCATATTAAAGTAATATTCAGCTGCTTTTTGAGACGCTCCTTCTCAAAACGTTTTCTTTTGGACTTTGCAGTTATTTGCCGACTTAACATCAGTAAGTAATATCAGTGGTTTGATCCACCAATCAGGACTGCTGTTGACCATTCAGCGCTTTACACTTGAATCTCAAACATGCCAAGCCTTAAGCTGTCTTCCACAACGATCACAGGTCAGATCTCATAAAAGATTAGTTTCTCCCGTCTTGTAGAGAGTTTAGCCTCCAACTCTTTCATTATATTGTCCTGTAAATGCCTGGAGGACACACTGTCATCACAGAGAGAACAGAGCAGCTCTCAGTTAGAAGGTCTCTCCCCTGCTCCCCGGGCCCCCCCCCTGACCCGGAGCCCCTGCCGCTCCATGATGTTCCACAGCTTGCGCAGGTTGGACTGGGTGATGACATCATCAGGTTTCAGCTGGAGAGCACGCAGGTAGTTGGCCTCCGCTTCCGGAAGCTTCCCGTTCAGGTGGAGGATGGCCCCGAGGTTCATCAGAGCAGCCGGGTACTAAGAGAGGGAAAAGACACCATGAGAACAGGGGCAGAGTGCTGCATGTTTACATTACAGTCAGTTGTGAGGACGTTCAGGGTTACTGTACAGGAATACCGCAACTGTGTCCACCTCTGAATCATCTGTCCGGGCAAACTATTTCAAACTTGCCCTCCTCAGCTCCACATTGGACACAGACAGTTATGTAAGACATAAACATGTTTTAGGAAGCTTGCCAGTTTTTATTTAAATGGAGAGTGGATTAAGGAAAGGTCTCTGGTGAAATTAGTTTAAGGCTTAGAAAATCTAATATGCATTAAATTGCACCTAAGGCATGGTCAAAGACAAAAGGACACCCTTTGATAGTGCCACAGTGGACAAATGGGTACAGATTGTCTATGGCTGGGTGTATTTTTTGTGATACATGTGTCTTTCTGGAGTCCTTTAAAAAAAGAAAAAATACCACATCTAGTTGCCAAATTAGACCATTTGACCATCAATAGTGTGCCAGTTCACAAAAAAAAACAGGTCACAGACATGACTCAACACAGACCTCTTCATAAAGCAGTCGGCAGCTCATCAGCGTCCTCGGTGCCTGACATATTCTTAGCAACTACTTCACAGAGGTTCTCTTCCCAAACACAACTGTGAGTCTCTTCTCAACATTGGTTTTTCCCTTGTTTACATTCCACTAATCAAAAGTGCCTGTTTTTCTCACCTCATGTAACAAATGAATGCTTGAGGAGCTGGAATATTTCAAGAACACGCTGGAGAGTTCCGTAATGAATGGAGAGAGGAGCTGCAGTGCAATACCAACGCTCTCTTTTCATCCAGTCGGGTTGTTTTTTTCACCTAGTGCAACAAATGAATGTACCAAGCAGTTACATTTCAAAGTGCTCCAAATCCCTTGCTCTGCTTTTTGTACAAGTGAGAGAGCAGCTGAAACATATTGTACTAAGCTAGATAAATGAGCGTCCCTTTGCCATTCTAAACAATGAGCTGATATGCAATACACAAACCGGGCTCCATCATCAGAAACAGAGCCTTGCCTATGCTCTGTGTACGGGAAGGCAGACAGAGTCATTGAGTAAGGCCATTTGTTACTTTCTTTTGACTGAAACGACTATATATAACGTTGGGTTGCTCTTGCATTAATACACAGTGATCTAAGTTATTACACATGTTGGATATACAGTATTTTTTAAGGTAGCATCTGCCTGTGGTAGCTCTAGAGATGCACCCTGCACCACTGTAAACCTTTATCATATTTTCCTAAAAGTTATATAATCCTTAAAGGTCCCTTCCACCCCTAGGAAACACTCTGATTTGAATAATTTCTTACTGATTTGTTGTTGTTTTTCGACAAAGTTGAATTACGCTATGAAAAACTATGCAAATATTTTAGTAGTTTCAGGCAAAAGGTTGCACACCCACTCCCCGGCAATATAACAAATCACTTGCGTGCCTTGCTCTAAAAAAAACCCTGTAGCATGAAATAAGATTGTGGATGTAATTATCTTTTTACTAAAAAATGTGTGCTTTTGTTTTGCTGCTCTGTAAACAGATACATTCTCTTCTCTCGTATTTCTGCCAGTGTAGCTGCTCAGGAGTGTTTGATGTTACAATACTTTATGCTTGCTGTTAACACAGTAACCACAGCTATTGCTAAATAAAAAAAGACTCACATTTTAAGGATAAGAACTTGATATTAAAGGAAAAATAACCACGATATGTCATCCTTTTTAGATGCAAGTACCGTATGGTCTAGACTCTATATACTGTTTCATGAGGACCCCTAGAATGACCATTTCCCAAACCATTGTCAGTACATATAGTGGTGCAAATAAGCATTTCAGTCAATGTGTGCAAAATGAAAACTATACTTGCACCTTTTCCTGTAGGCACACAATCGTTGCCTTTCCTAACACGTAGAGTAAGAGTTGAATCTTCCATGACTCGAATGCTTCTGGATTAAGTTGATGTTTGAGAGACTGACGGTCACTACGTGGGCAGGGAAATGTCAAGAGGTGCTTTACTTTGAGACAAATGACAAGAGGAGCCCTTAGCGTGTCTGAATGTGCACATGAATGCTTCTAGACTGTGAATGATAATGACTGACTAGGAGATTTTCTTACAGAAAGAACACATGGCTAACCAAATTGAAATGGACAACCAGTATTCTTCTATGGACTTACTCAGATTTAGGGCTTAAACAGGATATAAAAAGACAGGCAGACCTAATCCAAAAAAAGGCAGATGTTTTAAAGCAGTGATTCTCAGCCATTACTGTTCAGCTGTTGTCAGTAGGTGTGAGGAAACATTTTAAAGGAGCACATTTAAAAATAAAAAAATACACTTGAACTCTATGTGTTGCCATTGACAGTGTGTGAAACCAAGAAAGCAAGCCAACAGGGAGTAAAGTGAAACAATTGAAACTGTTAAATAAAAGTCCTATAATGGACACATGGTTGAAATAGCTATAGTAAGTAATAGAGTAGAAACAGAAGCCAAGGATAAATGGTTAAAATGATGGATAAAATAATAAAGAACATAGTTATCTAAAAGTAACAAATATGAAATAGCAGCACATGTTTGCTAACGTCATGGTAGTTGGAATAGAGAATATCTCATAATGAGTAGTAGTAGTAGTAGTACAAATGTAACTTGTTTAAATTTGGTTTGTTTTATTTTACTGCATGTTATGCAATAAGAATGTTCTTAAGAAAATGTAATATAAATTGAATCCACTATGTGTTAGTGCCATCTTAAGACTTGTAAGCATATCTTGATGGTTATCAGGATAATATGGTTAATTGCGGTATAGTGACCAGAAAAATCGTGATTTCACATTTACAAATCTACATTTAGACAATAAAAGTAGCTATAAAGGGTGCGGTGAAATAACATTAGTTACGTTAGTGAAGGGCATGAAGATGGAAGTGTAACGCTCCCTCCTGAATGCAGTGGTATCAGTAGTCACTGAGCAGACCCTCGCTGAGCACACTAACATGACAGATGACTGCAGGAAGTCCTGTCAGAAAGCACAGGGGTCGCTATGACTCCCCCTCCCAGACACTGTCCCTCTGAAGGACTGATACTTCAACAGGATATAATAGCCATACCTTCCTCCACCACATGTGCTGACTCTGAGAGACATGATACCCCTCAAGGCTCTGTTACACTATACTGTGATGATCAAGTATTTACTCTGAAGCTGAATGTGTGAACTGAAAAACAGCGACGGTAACACAGAGCTCTTCTCTCTTCTCTCTCTGGGATCTCTGTGTTTGCATGAGAGCATCCAGGGACCGGTTCACAGCGGTGAACAGAGCATAGTTTCCACTTCATATTCCCTGTTTGCCAGGAACAACAGTACTATAAAATAATGTCAGAATGATGAGTAACACGTAGCATGTTGTAAATTGAATTTACAGTGCAGGCGTGTGTGTGTTTGTGTGTTTCCATGATATGCGCTGACAGGCCCACCAGCCCAGGTACTCACATCTGGTCTGAGGCCTGCTGCTCGCTCGTACTGTCTCTCTGCTGCCTCATTCAGACTGGCCTGTCTATAGGGAGGAAACATGGAGAAACAAAGAGTCAGAACACAGATTAGATTAATACACATTATTACACTGAGCTCATCGTACTGTATACATCAGGGGTTCCCAACCCCCGGTCCGCGGACCGGTACCGGGCCGCGGAGGTGTTACTGCCGGGCCGCGAAATAGCTGTGAGTTTATCGTAATATTTGCAGAATTATAAATATTTAAAAATAATTTTATCAAAAAAAAAAAAAAAAAAATTAAATGTTCGCACCTATACCAATCATATTATTTCATCCAAAACATCCAAAATAAATCAAAATTGGTTAGCACAAGTTCTCAGCCTCTCGTGCACAGAGAAAGTTACCGGTGCGCCAATAGGAAGTGAAGCACACAGGAGACAACCGTTTAATCGCAGACTGTTATGTTTATGTGGGGAAATGGCAGTGCATACATTATTTGAGATATATTTCGAACTCAGACTTCATTTTAAGGACATTGCGGCCAGGGGTGTAGAGCTATTTTTTTTATTTGTAAAACCTCCTTCACTTCATGAAATGGCTGCAGCATCAGGAGGCAGCCTCTGAGAAGTGCAGCACCAGCGCGTACACACCGCCTTCACTGTGTTCCCCACTGCAGGCTT